GCGTCCTCAAAGCCACACTCGGCTCGATGTATATAGGTAAGCTTGTACAAGCCTGGCATCCGGTACCTCACTGAATATGACTCGCGTAGGTGGCGCAGACACGGTTAGTTCTTTTTGTGTTTACGCGCCTAAACATTTGCTAACGAGTTGGCAGACGACATCTACCCTGGAGACATTCTTCCTCGCTATGACGCTGCACCCTGAGGTCCTGCAAGAGGCGCAGCGCTCTGTGGACCGGGTCTGCGAGGGGCGGCTCCCCGACTTTTCGGACTACGACGCGCTGCCGTGGGTACATGCCATCGTGAAGGAATGTCTACGCTGGCGACCAGTCGCCCGGATGAGTCTGTTCCCTCTCTTTCGCATTTAAGCAGTCTGGATATTGACGGCTGCCCAAACAGACTTGGCGCACATGGTGACCAAAGATGACGTCTACGAGGGCTATCACATCCCGAAAGGCTCTATCGTCCTCGCGAACATCTGGTACGCTTTGTGCGCCTTTTATTGATCCCATCCAACTCACACGCAGAGCACAGGGCGATCCTGCACGACCCAGAGGTATACACCGATCCCGAAGCCTTCAACCCGCGCCGCTTCCTCCGAGCAGGGCCAGGCGCAGATGCAGCGGATGCGGCGAACGTCGAGCTCGACCCGACAGTGCGCGATCCGACGGTGGTCACCTTCGGCTTCGGACGGCGGATCTGTCCCGGGAAACACATGGCGTACCAGTCCCTCTGGGTCGCAGTAGCGAGCATAGTCGCTGCGATTGACATCACCAAGGCTGTCGACGAACACGGTAAAATCATCGAGCCGAGTGGGGAGTACACGTATGGGCTCATTTCGTAGGTCTTCTTTGGATGTCGGTGAGGGAAGAGCCGCTGATGAGTGAATTTACAGGGCACCGAAGCCGTTCAAGTGTTGTATTCGCCCGCGGTCCGCTGCGCATGCGGCGTTGGTGCAAGCTGCTCTAGAGCAAGATGCTTGAAACAGCTAGTTGTAGATAGCAAACGGTTCCACCGATCCGCCACGACAGAGATTCAAATATAACAACTGTGCCTTTTCACGACGGTTATTACAAGGGCATGTGTAAACTAGAAACAGCGCCGTACATGTCGCGGAGCTGACAGTATTACAGTAAGAACCGACCTCAAGCAAATCTCACTCCATACAATGTCCGCGCTCCCACCCAAATGCCAGTATTTTCGGCGGGTTCCATATTCAACTAATCATCGTCGCTCCAGCTCGTACATGTTGGGGTGCGGTGATAGTCACGGAAAGTCACGGAAAGTCACGAAAAGATCACAAACCAATAATGTCGTCGCACTGGCCTTCCTGTAGCCAAGCTTTCTCCGCGATGGCTTATTGCAAACTGTTGACAGCCCGCCTGCATTCTTGGTGTGCGTAGCGCGAAATCTCCGAAGGCGAGCACTCGATGTGCCTACTAGCGCCTAGTATTGTGCCGAGCGCACATGTGGCCCCTTCCTCCGTCTTTCATCTCCTGGCAGTACTAAACGTCGAGCCAACTCTATTGCATTGCAAGTTATGCGTAGCGATAAAATATCTGAATTTTTTCAGATATTTTGAGCACGTCGCTCCACCTTACCTCGAGCTGAGTGAAAGGGCGTGACAATGTGCGCTCACAGCACGCATGCCTTCAAAGGCAGTATTTGTACGGAACAAATGTCAGCACAAAAATCACGGACCGCAGTTTCATATGCAAACAACTGTAGCGCCTGCGGAGTTTTCGAACTCCGAGTTCTGAAAGTTTGGGGCGTCTATCGTTCTTGGAATAGCTGTAGAAGACGTGCGGATACAGTCTCATCTTACAGTGATAGTCTTTTGTATAATCACATTTTGTATCTGGTGTAATTGTAAAGTGACTGCTTATGCGAAAAAACTTTTGTCTGCGGACGAGTCTTTCTTTGCTGGTTAGTTGTTGTTTGACGGCGAAGCTGAACATGTTTACCGGCAATGTTCACGTTTCTGAGCGCGAAATTTGGATTTGTGTGACAGCTAATTTTCGTGCAAATTAGCTTTGGAAGCTAGCTGCAGCTGGGGCATTGGCCGAGAACACTCAGTCTGAATAAAAGGGAGAAATGTGTATTTCTTGTTCCGAGAGGGAAAAGTCGAGGTCTCGGAACGAAAGGGGAGGTAGGATTATAAGGCGAGAGAAAAATTCGGTTCCCAGGCATAAGTGGAGAATACAAGTGAGTATCCAAAGGTGGAAACAAATAAACTAAGATGAATCACCAGGAAAAACAAAAGCTTAGTAGCCGCAGAATCGCACAATCGTACTTTGTGATGTTACAGGTATGCAGTATGCTGAGCAGTAGATAGCACAGCCTTGGGGGAAAATTAGAGAGGTAA